CGGCCGCCTCCTCCCTCACGCCTACCCGCCCGCTGGGCGAGCTGTGCACCGAGCGCGACCCCTGCGACCCGCACAAGGGCCTCTTCTGCGACTTCGGCTCCCCGGCCAACCGCAAGATCGGCGTATGCACCGGTAAGACACGCAGCCCCCGCCGCTAGGTGTCCGGCCGCCTCCTCCCTCACGCCTACCCGCCCGCTGGAAAAAGAAACTGCTCGTACTGAGTTTCTTTCACCAGCTGCTGCCAGCCCGCCCCCTGCAGCCCAGATCCCAACTCGCATCTCTGACACTCTGGATGTGAGCGCCCCAATGCCTGACCTCTGCATCCCCCACCCCCTTCCCTTCCTCTTCTCCAGCCAAAGATGGTGCTCCCTGCATCTTCGGTGGCACGGTGTACCGCAGCGGAGAGTCCTTCCAGAGCAGCTGCAAGTACCAGTGCACGTGCCTGGACGGGGCGGTGGGCTGCATGCCCCTGTGCAGCATGGACGTTCGCCTGCCCAGCCCTGACTGCCCCTTCCCGAGGAGGGTCAAGCTGCCCGGGAAATGCTGTGAGGAGTGGGTGTGTGACGAGCCCAAGGACCAAACCGTGGTTGGGCCTGCCCTCGCGGGTGAGTCGAGTCTTCCTCTAAGTCGGGGTCGTGATTCTCTCCCAGGGAGGGAGTCCTAATTGTGCCAAGTGAAGGGGGTAAATATCTTATCCAGGCATTTTACATGGTGTTTTTGTGCTCTGCTCTCGCAGCTTACCGACTGGAAGACACGTTTGGCCCAGACCCAACTATGATTAGAGCCAACTGCCTGGTCCAGACCACAGAGTGGAGCGCCTGTTCCAAGACCTGTGGGATGGGCATCTCCACCCGGGTTACCAATGACAACGCCTCTTGCAGGCTAGAGAAGCAGAGCCGCCTGTGCATGGTCAGGCCTTGCGAAGCTGACCTGGAAGAGAACATTAAGGTACGTGTTCTGCTCCTATTAACTGTTTTTCACAGGAAAAACAGTGGATAGGACCCAACTTAGGGCTCTTGCCACCCTTGTTAATATAACTCCGTTATCTCCAAAACTATCTAGCCATTGAGCTGTTTTGCTGGAATGAGAGCTTGTGTAATAGCAACCACAAGTTTTCCACTACGAAATCTTCTGCAGGGTTAGTTAATTCAAGACATTCCAAGAGAGGCCCTGGCTATTTTTGGACATAGCAAATGAGACTCAAACTTCCTCCCCTCAAAATATAAACAGAAGTCAGACAACAGAAGACTAAAACACAGAGGGTTGAAGAAAGCCACTCCCCTTGTAGAGTTGTTGATTTTTTTTTTCCTCTTTCTTTTCCCTTGTCTATCTTAGAAGGGCAAAAAGTGCATCCGTACCCCCAAAATCTCCAAGCCTATCAAGTTTGAGCTTTCTGGCTGCACCAGCGTGAAGACATACCGAGCTAAATTCTGCGGAGTATGTACCGACGGCCGATGCTGCACCCCCCACAGAACCACCACCCTGCCAGTGGAGTTCAAGTGCCCTGACGGCGAGGTCATGAAGAAGAACATGATGTTCATCAAGACCTGTGCCTGCCACTACAACTGTCCCGGAGACAATGACATCTTTGAGTCGCTGTACTACAGGAAGATGTACGGAGACATGGCGTGAAGCCAGAGAGTGAGACATTAACTCATTAGACTGGAACTTGAAATGATTCACATCTCATTTTTATGTAAAAATGATTGCAGTAGCACAAGTTATTTAAATCTGTTTTTCTAACTGGGGGAAAAGATTCCGACCCAATTCAAAACATTGTGCCATGTCAAACAAATAGTCTATCAACCCCAGACACTGGTTTGAAGAATGTTAAGACTTGACAGTGGAACTGCATTAGTACACAGCACCAGAATGTATATTAAGGTGTGACTTTAGGAGCAGTGGGAGGGTACCAACAGAAAGGTTGGTATCATCAGATAGCGTCTTATACGAGTAATGTGCCTGCTATTTGAAGTGTAATTGAGAAGGAAAATTTTAGCGTGCTCACTGACATGCCTGTAGCCCCAGTGACAGCGAGGATGTGCATTCTCTAGCCATCAAGAGACTGAGTCTAGTTGTACCTTAAGTCAGAACAGCAGATTCAGCTCTGACATTCTGATTCGAATGACACTGTTCAGGAATCGGAATCCTGTCGATTAGACTGGACAGCTTGTGGCAAGTGAATTTGCCTGTAACAAGCCACATTTTTAAAAATTTATATTGTAAATATTGTGTGCGTGTGTGTGTGTGTGTATATATATATATATGTACAGTTATCTAAGTTAATTTAAAGTTGTTTGTGCCTTTTTATTTTTGTTTTTAATGCTTTGATATTTCAATGTTAGCCTCAATTTCTGAACACCATAGGTAGAATGTAAAGCTTGTCTGATCATTCAAAGCGTGAAATGGATACTTATATGGAAATTCTGCTCAGATAGAATGACAGTCCGTCAAAACAGATTGTTTGCAAAGGCGAGGCATTAGTGACCTTGGAAGGCTGATTTCTAGGTAGGAAATGTGGTAGCCTCACTTTTAATGAACAAATGACCTTTATTAAAAACCGAGCAGCTCTATATAGCTGATCAGTTTTCTCACCTGGAAGCATTTGTTTCTACTTTGATATGACTGTTTTCCGGACAGTTTATTTGTTGAGAGTGTGACCAAAAGTTACATGTTTGCACCTTTCTAGTTGAAAATAAAGTATATATTTTTTCTATAAATGGCTTGGTTATTCAATTATCCTTCTAAACATTTCTGAGTTTTCTTGAGCATAAATAGGAAACTCTTGTTAATCATAAGGTAATTCACCAATAGTTTTCTAAATATTTTTTATTGTTCTATATATTAATAAATTGATTATTCCATAGAATTTTTATGTAAACATACTTCACACTGAATCAAGTATCACAGACTTGCAGGTACAAACACCACATTGACTACACAGTCATTTTTTTAACAAAAAAATGTGTTATCTTCACAGAACTTTATAGACATTTTAAATTCAGTTCTATCTAGATTACTTCAGTCTCCATTAACCCTGCTGAATTATACTTGGTCCTTTTGGCATTTAGTATTTCTCTGGCCATTATAGGTTAATTTCCAACCCTTCACATCACAAACTAGTCTATGTGCCTTGTATGTGGAAAATGTTTAAATTAAAAAAAAAAAATTTTATGCTCTAGGTCTATTTCTGAACCTCATTACCTGGCTGTTAAATCTGAAAATTATGAAATGAAGTCCTCATTTAAATGGAGCTATGCCATAAGTCTTGTTTTGTATAATTCTGTTTTCAGTTGCCATGATAACCAATGACAAATAGATGGCATAAATAGAAAAGGGAGGATGAGCAAATCTACCATTCATTAACATTAATAGAAATTTGTTTTGAAAGTAATTCCTCCATTTGCCCAAGTCTTTGACTTTATCAGACCTCCAGATTAATGGATCCTAACTTACCAAGTGGTTTATACATGAGAAAATAGAATTGTTCAAGAACACTGGTGTGGAAACAATATTGTACCTACCCAGGTAGGTTTTCACTAAAGAGTGAACCAAAGTGAATGGTAAACAAAAGAAACACACCAAAGGCAACTAGAATCTTCTCCACACGAGGGTAGCTGGGGATTCTAGGGGAAAAAAAGATTGCAGACAGACTAACCTTTCCCAAGGTAATTAGCAATGTTGTAGTGCCAGTGTCATTTGGACAGACAAAAATACACCTGAAAATAAAGACTAGCTCTACAAACAAATGTCCACACCACAAACCAAACGGGAAACTTCCCGTGTTCAGAATGTGAAGAGAATTTATGGTCAAAGCACGGGGCTTTAAGGATACACCCACATCTGTATACAGCAGTGCTGCCAGGAGCAGCACCCCACCTCCCCAAATAAATGCACATGTACACATACACCTAGGCATGCACACAGAGTACACTGTTAGTTCACACTTCCTCTCTGTCAATTCCTAACTGCAAAGATGAAGGGCCATGCATGATGAACGAGCCTGACTGTGCTGAATGAGAGCATTCTGGAAATGTAGAAGTAGCAGGAAAAGCATAGATTTCACAGTTTCCAAATACCCACATTAAAAAAAAAGAGTCACTAGATTGCAAAACAAAAGTCCCACAGGCAATATTTGTAAGAAAATTAGATGGTAATGCACACTTTCACCCCCCAAATATCAGAGGTAGGGAGTGCCAAATCATCAACCACCATAAGATCTGCACTGTGTCAGCACGTGTGTGAGAAAAGCAGAGAAACAACAAGGTATCTGATGCTTCTGAGAACCCGAGAGCTCTCAAACAGCCAGCAGGTAGTCACTAGATATATAGAAGGCCAGGCTGAGAGCAGCTGTTGAACCTAGTAGGGGTTTGGCCTAGCACTTCAACAAAACTTACAAGCCAGGGCTCCCTCCCAGGAGAAGACCCCCACACTCTTGGAAGTGGAATCTAAATTGAGCAGGTCACCAGAGAGATATTTCTCAAAAGAAGACACACAAATGGCCAACAAGTATATGAAAAGATGTTCAACATTACTAACCATCAGGGAAACGCAAATCAAAACCACAATGAGCTATCACTTCGCACTTGTTAAAATGACTACTATCAAAAAAAACAAAAGATAACAAAATTGTCAGCAAGGATGTGGAGGAAAAAAAACTCTTGTGCATTGTTGGCAGGAATGTAAATTAGTACAGCCATTATGAAAAACAGAAAGAAAGTTCCATAAAAAATTAAGAATACAATTACTACATGATCTAGTAATCCCACTACTGGGTATATACGCAATGAAAAAGAAGTCAGTATGTTGAAAAGATATCTGCACCTCCATGTTCACTGCAGCGCTATCCACAATAGCTAAGTTATGGAATCAACCTAAGTGTCCATCAACAGATGGATGGATAAAGAAGATGAGGTATATATACACAATGCAGTGCTATTCATTAAAAAAAAAGAGAACCCTGTCGTTTGTGACAACATGGAGGAACCTAGAGTACATTGTGTTAAGTGAAATAAGCCAGGTTACAGAAAGAGAAATATAGCACTATCTCACTTACATGTGGAATCTAAAAGGTTGACCTCATAGAAGTAGAGAGCAGAATGGTGGTTACGAGGGGATTGGGGTTGGGGAGGAAAGTTGGGAGATGTTGGTCAGAAAATATAAAATTTCACTTAAGCAATAAGAATAAGTTCAAGAGATCTATTTTACAATGTGATGACTCTAGTTACTAATACATTTTATTCTTTAAAAATGCTAAGAGAATGGTTGTAAAGTGTTCTTAGCACAAAACTCTATGAGGTAATGCATATGTTAATTAACTAGATTTAGTGATGCCACAATGTATATATACTTCAAAACATCATGTTTTATATGGTAAATTACGACTTTATCTGTCAATATAAAATAAAATAAAAATTGAGTGGGTCAGTCAGGGACAACAGAGACATTAAAGGATTTGGATTAAAATGAGGATGGAAACAGAGGTTCAAAATCTCAGAAAGTAAACTGCAATATTTTTAATGCTGCATGAAAACAATAAAAGAGGGAGGTCTGTGAATTTAGAAAATTAAACCAAACCTCCTTCCTGAGCCAACTTTAGTAAAACTAATTTTATATAAATTAGGAAAACAAAATTACTGAAGCCAAATCCCTACAAAGTCACTATATTTAAAAAAAGAAAATAAAGAATAGAATAACTTCTCTGCAGATAATAAAAAATGTGAGAAATACATACCTATAAAACATAGCAAAATTATAAACTGTTATTTCAAAAGAACATTAAGAAAATGATGTTGGACATAAATGATATTAATAGTAAGGAAATGACTAATGACATAAAATAGCAACATAAATCAGAATTACCATAACTTAAAAATATAGTGTCAGAAATCAATAGAGATTTAGAAATAAAGGAACTATATCAAACTAGAAGGAACATAAGAGTGAATAAACTCTAACAGATAAGAAGAAAAAACGTTTATATATAAAAGAAGAAATAAAAATGTTTAATAAAAAGCAATAAATATTGTGGATAGGCAAAGAAAATCCAGTATGTGGAGGGTAGAAATTCTTAAAGAAGGAAAAAAAAAATCCTAAAAGCTATAAGTAAAAAAAAACTTTACTAGAATAAAAAAAATTTGAAAGCACGTGTTGAAAGGGCGTGCCATATGCCTAAACAAATCAACCAACACCAAAACACATTCTAGTAAAACTGCTGGAGTTTAAAGAAAAGGGAAACGCTATTTGAACATGAAGACAAAAAGAACATGAGCTTTATAAATAAAAAAAAAAAAATTAGCTCATCGTTAGATTTTTTTAATAGCAATACTTTATGCCAGAAAAAAAAAATGGAATAACTTATTTAAGATACTTAAGGAAAGAAAATGAGAGTCAAGAAACTTTTATCCTCTAAAACTGACTTTCAAGAATCAAGGATACAGACAAACTGTATGTGAAGGACACATACAAAATCTTGTATGTTAAAAACATACAAGAATTCAGGGCATATTGTTCCTGTGAGCCCTTCCTGAGGAACCTACTAGCAAACAAGCTCAAACAACACAAATGTCTGAGAGATATTAACCTAAGGACTGTAGTGAGAATTGAATATAGCTTAAACCCGGGAGATGGAGGTTGCAGTGAGCCAAGATCACGCACTCCAGCCTGGGTGACAGAGCAAGACTCTGTCTCAGAAATAATAATAACAATAAATTAAAAATAAAAAGTAAAAAAAAGAAGAACTAATTGCTCACCTTCTGGGAGTGATAAGGAACTGATTCAGTATACACAAAATATAATTTTTTTCTGATGACTTCAGTATCATTTTGTGTGTGTGTGTATTACACATCTCTCAGTGCCTCAGAAAAGACAGGCTGAATCTTTGCCAACCCCCAACATCACCTAAAGATGGCTTTTTTAAAAAAATAAATAATCTTTTAGTCAATAGTGCTCATCTCATGATGGTTAGTTTAAAGTAATTTTCTATTTCTTTTAATAATTTTTAAACTTTTTCAAATTTTCTGAAATGAATACACATTATAAGAGAGAGATTTTTTAAAAAACAAATATTCCATCTCAAAAAAACAGCAAGGAAAAGTGTTCAAGTATTTTATGATTTTCATTTAGATGAAACAATCCACAATACATAAATAAGTAAATAACTTAGCTATTCAAACCACTATATCTTAATTAGCCACGTGCCTAAGAGTACATGCAACACACATAGAATCGCTAGGGAATGCACATATTCATTGTATATTCAGTGTTTTCTTTAACTCCATTTCTCTATGCCATAAATAAAATGGTGAACGATTTTCCTCTGTATAGCTATCCCTTACCTCATGAATCATACTAATTATATATAGACTGTTCCTAAGACTAAGAATAAAATAAACAAAATAAAATATATTCTTAAAATACTGTCAGATTCTAAACCTAAATATAGGATTCAAAGCAATAGATATGCAGACCCATCTTCTATATTAGATGTTTAAAAGATAGTCAAAGAAGAGTTAGTAAGAAATGAGGAGCATCATTGATTAATTCGAATTTCTATCTCAATAATATAAAACATTTATATTAGGTCAACAAATTCTAACACAATTTTTGTCAGCACAGTTAACATGTATAATTTAGATAACTACAATAACTTTTAGTCTTTGGTATATATTCAAGAGAAATGAGCAAAAGACATACAAAATTCTCAAAGCAGTTTCGTCCA